TTCGACAAACGATTGGAAAGTATTTAACGCCTCGATAGCTCGTACATCGTTAAATTAGACCCCCTACGGTTGCTACTCATCTTCTACCGGATACTCGATGTTTCAGCAGAGGCCCTATTGTTTTCTTCGGACCGGTTTCCTCGTGATCGAAAGGTAAAAAACGAATACCGTTAATAATCCTGTCAAGTTTCTACCGGAGAAACATGAATCGACGAATAAATAACAACTTGGTTAATAACAATAGCAACAACAACGACAATGAGATTAAGCGAATAAGTAAAAGACGATTTGAACAGCAGAATTTCAGTAGTCTCCCTAGCAAAATATAACGAGACCGAATAAGTGAACGCGTGAGATGGTTATACGGTGAGGAAAAAAGTGTAAGATTTCCGGCGAGTCTCGAGTCTCTAGTCTCTGTGGCAATAGTAGCAACAAAATGAAAGGGAAGGCATGAAAGGTAATCGAAGTTAAACGAGACAGCCAGCCATTCATGGGTTACGGGATCGTGACAATGAAGCTCGCTATTTGTTGAACGGTCGCTTCGGACTACAGACAATGGCTCTGCTGGAGTTTATACCGTGTCGAGGGGTAATGCTGTAACACCGTGGTCATCCTGGTAGTTTTCTACGAGAAAGAGCCAGACTCTGCATGAATTGCGCCGCGTTCCGTTCACAGAATCGCCCGCCGTTGTTTTTACCCGACCTTCGCACAACAATCTTCTACTAGCTCCATTTATTTTGAACGGCATAATTTCACTCTAAAATAACACGCGATCTCTCCCGCGTGTCTACGCGATACGCATTTTTATTGTATCTGTAGCCTCTACCTACTGCTCTTTCGTTCGCATCGTTCGCATCGATCTTGGCCCTATGCAGGTTAAACGTTGACAATGAGACGTGTTCTCAACGATGCAGAGCAACGCATCGGGATCGAATATATATCAGGCATTGTATCTCTAAACTCTGACAAGAGTCTACAACATTGCGAACACGACGTTTATTGCCAGCCAGGACAGATATGTTCCCGATAATCATCATCGTTCGTTACTTGAATCACTACCATTCCGATCTAAACAGCAGCGCCCGCTTTGTTCGTAACGTGGGACTAGAGGCATCGTTTTCGAGATTTTATCCGGATCTTGCCACGATTCTTGGGAATTCTTTCGAGCCATCGCATCGGGCCCGATGTCGGGAGAATGGCTCATCGGTCATCTCCTGAAATTCGATCGGCCACAGCGGGACCACGTTGGCGTTGCGTTGTTTGGAAAACTTGAGCTTTGTCTTCTGCTCTAGAGAAAGCGGTCGAGTCGATTCTATCTCGTAATCGAGCAAACGAGTCGATAGTTTGTATGCGTGGCCAAATCACCACGGGAGATTCTTCGTTCGACCGTAGAGTCGAAACTGGAGTTGATCAGAGGTTACGCTGAAAGTACATCGGCATCGGTCCAACACCGTAAATGTCTTCGTGGCACCGAAACGACCGCGATCGGTCAAGTTTGCCAAGGGCAATGGTGATCGTCAGCGTCGCGATTGTATCTCGTATCAGGCATCTTGCGCGATCGCACGTCGAATTCCAGCCGAAAGGAGAGGAGTCACGAACAGAGCTCGTTCGCCCGAGGAAGCTGTCTTCCGTCTCGACCACCCACGATCCTCGTGGTGAATTTGTAAAACGTGGGACCACGAGCTCGATCCCCTTCCACTTTTCACCATTTTCCACCCTTTGCCCCCTTTTCAGACGAGAAAACTCTCCGCTGTGACCGCTAAACGGGATCAAAGTGGAAAGGAACGACGACCGCCCGCGACGATTCCTTATGAAACGTCCAATGTCACGATTCCCTTTCTATAGATCCCGAGGGATGCTTTTCAAGCTGACTTCCGGTCGTTCAGATGACGATTTCATTAACCCTGACCACAGTACACGTAGCATCAGGTGTTCATCGGTAGCTTTGCGTGAGATATATTTATATCCGCTCAGAGTTTCTTTTTTCTTTGTTTTTCATCGAAGAAAGTAATATTTTGAAAAATTTGTCAACTTTTTACAATTATTCTATTGCATATATGTATAATAAAACTTGTAGAGGTTTCTATGAAATGTAGAAACTGTCGTAAAACTTTTCAATGGTATTATACTATAGCATAAGCACTGTTACAAATGTTCTCCAAGCCTGGAAGTGAAATTCTCTTTTAATTATTCAAACGAGTGCATACACGCGCATACGCTGACGCTCGAGCGCGATTGTAAAAGGGCGAAGAGGAGGAGTGGACTACAGCAGGGAAGAGCGAACGATGCGGAATATATTATAGACTCGTTCCTTCCGAGTCGACCTGGCACTCGGTTAAAATCTCGCTTTCGAGATAAACGATGAGTAAAATGCTGCTGAAACGGTCTCGAATAAATTACACGCGCGTCGTAATTAACATATCATCCCTTGTAAACTCTTTCGCGTGTGACTTTGAGGAAATTTATTATTTCTAGAGTTGAGAGTAGGTATACCAGACACGTAGAAATTGGAAATAAAAAACACGTGCAAAATGAACGACAAGTTAATTATTTTCAAATAACTAACTAACATTTTACTTTTAATGTTTTTTTTTCTACGTATAGAGGAGAGTGGAAGCAAAAGCACAATCAAATTTGGACGTCTTTCACGATTCACTTTTAAAGGGAGGGAGGGAGGGAGAGAAAAAGGAAGAGAGAGAGAGAGAGAGAGAGAGAGAGAGAGAGAGAGAGAGAGAGAACCTGCACGAGGACTTGTTCGAGCCGTACGCAACGGAAAGATTAAAAGAATCGCTAGGAGAATTCTCCGAAGCAGAGTCACAGTCGTGTTATAAATCTTGAAATTTAAATCCAATTTAACTCAGCCTTACGAGGGGACGAGGTGGTAGTAACAAGACACAACGAGTGTCGTTCGTTATTCTTTCCGAGGATCCTCACTGGCTAGACGGATCTGCGCTCGTATGGTTAATGTACCCTCAAAGAAGAACTTGGTCCTTTTAACTCGCTGCACCGGTAAGGCCAGTTCGCGATTCCATCGTGTTCCGCGTACGTCTTCATGCACTCTGACTCGCGTTTCTCTTCGTGTTTCTCTTCGTGTACGGTTCGTCGTCATCCGTGCGGATAAGAGGATGTACTTGGCCGAATACATCCATCGCCGAGTTTTCAAAGTAACACGTGCTTGCGTACCTTGTATTCCCGATTAATGCGGTTTAAATCCAATCATCACCGCGAAATTTACGAAATTTTCCATGTTTCAACTTTTAATCAACAGTTTTCCAAAACGCGATCAACGATCGTAAATCCAGGACTCCAGGGATGCTTTCTTTTGCAAGAGAATGCTTTAAAAGTATAGCTCGGAAGGCTCAAGTTCTTCTCCATTATCCCTGTCATTGTCCTTGTGGCTTTTCAGCAAACAGCCAGTTAAAATTACAGTAATTTTTCTGTCGAAAGTCCCCTTTTCTTATTCTTCGGTTCTCATTGTCAGATCCGTAAAAGATATCCGAAATCGGTGAAACGTTGAATACGAATGCGCTGAAATTACCGGTTAATGTCACGTATTAACGAATTTAAACCACTATTAGTCATATCTGTCCACTTTGACGATTTCGTGTGAAATTATAGCGATAAACTTTGTTTCACAAACAGGAAAAAGAAAATAAGTACATTTTACGATACAAAAGCAACAAGTTAAATATTCATGCAATGTGATAAATATAAATATCCTCAAGTCCGTGTCCGTATATATATCAAACACACTCAGTTTTTACATGGTGTTTAAATTTTATGATTGTAGGTTAACGATTTCTGCGAGTATAAACATCAATGGGCGCGATCGACCCACATTGCCGTTTGTTGAAACGGCATTTTTATATGGAACGAACAAAAGAGATAATTCATCGATGATTCTATACAAATCTATAGTACGAATTGTATAAACAACAAGACTTCCTTATATCGTATGACAATGCTCGAATTGTCTTTCGAATTTACTCATCTTAGCGGAGTAACAAAATACGGAGCGAGCAAACAGTCTGATAAAACTACGAAAAACTCACAATGGTATCATTTTTCATTCGCAAACACGGACAGGCACATAAACGTGAGCCTCGAATAATGTACGGAGACGGTGGTTCTATAATATTTATCTGAATCTACTGTATTCTTTGATTTAAATTGATTAAAATGAAAAATTGTTAAATAATAGTAGCAGCGATGGCAGTTGAAGTAATTTTTCGAACAAGTAGCCGTGTATATTGAAAATTTACTTATTCTTCGCCATATCCATTCTCGTTTCTGGCTGTTTCGTAAAATTGAACGAAACGAAAGGAAACGATCGATCGATACCTACCTGAGGGATTTGTACCTACAAGTATCGGGCCCGTTAGGCTAGGTTAGTAACCCGAATCTACCTGAAGATGAAATGACACCAGTCGTTGCAGTTCGTTTACCGTAGGGGACGAGGATCGATACCACAATCGAAATGCATTGGCAGTGATAGGTACCGTTACTGTACAACAATGAATATTCCTCGAGGATTCTGCCTCGGTCCGCAGAGTAATCACGGTTCTACCTGACTCTACTACCAAGTCAGCCGTAAAATTTCGTGAAAACTTGGAGCGAGCATTGGTGAAATAAATCTTTGAATAGTTTCACAGCTTGCTACGACAATTACCTCATATTTCATCGGTTCTTTCAACACCGGAATATCGTACATATGTATATTATGATAATATTTTTTTAATATCCTCTTTCGTCCAATTATTTTAATTAAATTATATTCAAATTAAATTTCAAACCTTTTACACAGCAAATCCAAGTAGACGAGGCATTTGGAAGCTTGGAGAGCTCCAAGTAGGGGAAAATAATAAAACTGTACTATGATAGCTATCGATAACGTTGTCCAATATATTTAACGAATTATTTCTCAATATGTATTTACAAAAAGGCACTATCATGATAAAGTTACGTTCGTATTTATTTATTTCAGTTGGAACGTCGTTTAATTGAATTTATCCGATCGATTCCGTTCCATACGCACTGTTTACATACCGCGTTCGTTACAAGTCGTTTTAATACAATACTATAAAATGCACCCTTTCGCGTCTCACGACCCACGGAAACATCATTCAAGTATCTGTTCGAATTTCTAGAAATATTTGAATCGTTAGATGGTCCGTGCGAGTATCGATCGAGTCGCAAATACTTTCAAACGTTGTTAACATTCGTGAATTTTACAACGACTCGATTCTCCCAGTATTAACGTTTAATAGTCGAAGAAATTCTTAACCAAGTTTCATATTCGATACCGGAATTAAATTACTTACGCTGGCGTTGATGGGAACCGTACAACTATAGGCTTCAATCAACGGTTCGTCGATTAATAATTAAACAATCTTATAAGGCACTGTTGAATGCTGCTGGAAATCTTTCGAGGATGCAGCTAATGTCGATACGACATTATCCTACATTCTGTATGCGATAAGCATAATGGAAAATGCGCTCCGTATGTACTTCGAAATTGATCGATAATAGAAACCTTCGTGGTCGTCGATCGCTAAACTCTTAAGCATAGTATCTCGAGAACAAAGGACTATCGTTATCTCTACAAATAAAAAGGACGCGCTTTCGTCGATTGGTAAAATTACATCTGTACACGATATTAATATTAATATGACTAGATCACAGTTAGTGGAACAGCCGCTGTTCATCGTCCCCTATCGGTCCTTTTTTTCATCGGTCCTGTGACTCTGTTCCTGTAAACGAGAAGAAAAATTCATACGTTAGCGAATAGTTAGAGTTTGGACGAGAAAGAGAAATAATGACTACCAGTTGCTCTTTTTCCATCTTCTTTTATTCTAACCGACTATCGTAACAACGAGACACGAATTTCAACGACCAGTTTAATTTTATTTAGCTGCCAACTTCCACGCTCTTGTTACCGTGGATTTGCATTAGCAATGACGACCCAGTACCAGTTTATAAATTTATTCCCGACGAAATCGGGACTCCCGAAGGTCGCAACGAGACGCTACAGGTATACAAGCGAGAGAGGCAGGGGATGATTTCAGGTAAGGGCAGTTTTACTGGAAGGGACTCACGGCTCTCCACGGGTAGAAACGAAAAAGAAGAAATCGAAGGAGACGGATAGAAGGGTAGGGGGAGAGCACGATGGAGACGAAAGAATAGCGTACCGGTTCAAAAACCCACAAAAGGGAGACTGAAATATCCTGAAAGATGCATTCAGGTTAAACGCAGCAGGCGAAATCGTCTCTTGTCAAGTGGAGAGAGAAAGAGAGAGAGAGAGAGAGAGAGAGAGAGAGAGAGAGAGAGAGAGAGAGTGTGACACACACACACACACACATACACACAGAGGACGAAAAAGAGGGAGGGAAATAACGAACCGAAAAATAGAATAAGATTCGAAGCAAGGGAAACAAAATCGGCGCGAAAAAACGTTGTTACGTGTATCGAGGTCAGAGTTCACCGATGCTTTTTTGGTAGTTTTGAAAATGCCAAACTTTCTAGATACTGGACGATGTAAGCGAATATCGCGAGATTATCTATTTAAAAGAAAAAGAAACAAAATGACAGTCTGTTCGTTAAGTTTGCGTTTCCGACGCAAAGTAACTCGGAGGATTGTTGGTGAAAGCGAAATCGTGGAAAGTGAAATGAAATATTAAGGTAGCATATCGGACGATATCGAAAAGTTTTGTCGCGTCGCGAAAGGTGGTAAAATGCTCGGAGGAAACTCGGAGAATCGGATGTCTCGTCTCGGAAAGTTGAAGGGTGTAGAGGGCTGATAAAAGGGTACAAGTTTCGAGACACGCGTACACGGACAGGCTGGGCATGCGTGTTGGTACACAGTGAAAGAAATCGGGCACAAAAGCGTCGCTTCTCGAATGTATACTCGGTGGCTCTCTGAATGGAGTCTGCGATTTGAATGGCTGGAGTTTCAGCGAGGGGTCGCGCGCGCCATTGTGATGGGGCAAGGTCACAAATCTGGTCGGAAACTCCTTTGAACTTCCTCGGTAACGCGGATGTTACCTCATGGGCAAAATTTACGGGCGCGGTCGTTGAAAAGCGAGGGAGGTGAGAAACTTTTGGAAAAAAATTTCTTAATATAATGCAGCATTAAATAACTGGAATAACTTTCGACGATGAAACGAAACGAAAAGAACAGTACTAGATAAAAGTGGCATCGGTTAATATTTGGGTTAAACTTGATCGTCGAAACCGGCAAAAGTTTGTTTGACAACAAAAAAAAGACCACTTGTTTATTGTAAAAAATAGTAAGCGTAATTGATATTAAGGCGTACGTTAAGACGAAATAAATGAAGAAAAGAGATGAAAAGAGCCAAGTAAAAGAATATAACATGTGGAAAAAATGTGTGATAACTGATAACGTTGACGCAACACCAACCTTTGAGAAAACGCTGGACCAAGTCGGAGCCGAAGTATAACCCCGCTCCTCTCATTGACTTTGCTGCCACCAAGAGATAACGTCTAATAATTCTTCGTCTTCCGGACTCATGGGTTCGTAATTATCGTAAGCATCGGAATGCGTCGCGTAGAGAGTACCCGAGGTTCCACCGTAGCCTTGACTGCCAACCGAGGATGCTTCGGAAACGAAACTCGGCGTTGGGGAACTGGACGCTTCGGAACATGGTGCCGGTACAAACGTTGGGCTAGGATTTTGTCTGAGATGTTGGTGTCGATGGGCTGTCAAGTCAGGGCTGTGATGCCGAATCTCGTTGTTGACGTTGCCGCGAAGTCTTAGCTCGGGAGAGTGGTGACTGGACTCGACTCCGATTCCGTTGCCAGAGCTACACGTGGACGAAGAAGAGGAAGTCGAGGAAGGCGGCGACGAGGTTGGCGAAGATACATTGGTAAGATCCGAGCCACCGTCGTGCTCGTCCAACAGACGCTGAAGACTTCTTATATATTCGACCGCCATCCTGAGCGTTTCGACTTTCGATAACTTTTTACTACCAGCTCTGGATCCACCGTGCGTGCCGGCTGTACTTCCTCCGAGAGCCTGCGCCACGCTTTGAGGTATATGTTGCCTCAGAGTCGCGAATCCATTGTTCACCTGTTTCACGCGATTCCGTTCACGGGCATTTCTTCTTGCTACGGAAGCTGGCTGATGGGGAACCGTGCCATACGGTCCGGTCGGTTGCCCGTAAATCTTGGATCGTTTGCAACCGTGTTGCTGCATCGTCTTGATGTCATTGCTCGGTATACTGCTCGTGGAAACAATCACGTTGCCGCGATGGGTTTGCGCACTGGTTGCGTTAGAACCATGGAGATTATGGTGATGATGCTGTTGCTGCACGCTCAACATGATGGGCAATACGTTCTCCTCCTTCGATCTCACTAAGGTCATATCACTGATCCGATTCCTTCCCGCGCCCCCACCCCCCACCCCACCCCGCCCCACTAGGTGAGCAGGAGTGTGCGGCAGCGCGTGCCAGATGACCTTCGAGTGAATGGAATCCTCGATGTATCCAAGTACCAGTACCAGTACCAGTACCAGTACCAGTACCAGGTCGCGGTCCGATTACTACCACGACGACGATCACGACGCCGATCGTTTAACCCTCTTGGACGATTTCCCTCCTGCCGCGACACCTTCGTTAACTACAATACAATACCACGCGATCCCTTAAACGAATCTGAGAAACGAAAATCGAAGCTCCGCCTCCGGCTCGAGACCAGTTGTTGGACGAGTCGGAAAAGTGAAAAACTAAACCGCACCCTCGATGCTGATGGTACGGACCTGGCTCCCGAAATGCCTTGCAAAGAAGGGTTCGAGGCCTTATATAGCCAGGGCGGGCACGCGCCTATCCCCTCCATGGGGCCCCATACTCGATCTCGGGCCCTAAACCCCCATCGTCTCCCCCTACCGGCTTGCAGCGCCTCATACCCCTGTACGTCCCCACCACTACCGTTCCAAAGGCCCTACAACGCCCGAGATTCTCATCTTCGTGAATTGCCCTCGTGCTTTTGCGTGCCAGTTGGAATCTATTTGCCGATTCCGATATTTAAAGATGATAACCTTCGTCGTTATCGACGCGATAACTTAACTCGTGGTTCTCGTTTCTTGGAAATTGCATAGGCTCGTGCGCCGCTCCGTGCAGCACCGTGCCGTGCCGGCTTCGATTCAAAATATACATATTATAGATATATGGACGTTGCATCTTGCATGCGACTGATGTACATCTACGTCGAAGTAAGTTTATATCAAGATCTTATTCATTAACACCACTGCGGGAACAGAATAACGTAGACTGTGCTACTCGAACGTATTTGCAAATATAACCAAGTATTCTGTAGAAAGCTAGTATGTATTGTAGATACTGTCGATACACGATGAATTCTATCCCATCGGCTCCAAGTATTTTTCACGTTTATCAAGTGTATCGAGTAAAAGTTAAAATTCATGTAATCTAATTAAGAAATTTGGATACGAAAACAAAAATTTCGTTAGAATACCGTCACAGTAGTAATCGTAAACGAAAACATCACCCTAGTACACCACGCGCGTGCTCCGGAATTTGAAATCACCTTGCAACGAACCTCAGAAATTTGTGCACGCGTGAGAGACACTGCTACATACGTAAGAAGGGTCCAAATCCCCACCGAGTTGTCCGGTGTCTCGGGGATCGAAATTTGAACAGTTACCGGGAGAAAGAAAAGCTGGTCCAGAGATCGAGCATGTCGGCTGAGAGAGACACGCGTATGCGCCGACATTGCGATGAAAAGAGATCACGCTCGAGGAAAGAAGAAGATGCGAAGTAAGAAGATAGAAGTAAGAAGAAGAAGAGGAGGAGGAAGAAGAAGAAGAAGAAGAAGAGAAGTTACGCAGCGAAGAAGGTTGGGACCGTCGGAGGAGTAAGGGGATACGAAGGATATGTGGGCCCAAGTATGTATATAGTGGCAGGGAAGTTGGGGGCAGCAGCGTCATGGGCCCATCAGCGTTGTGGAAGAGGGCAGGGGGTGTAAGACGTGAGCCGTTCTCCCCACCATCGGTTCATGGCGCGCGCCGATCCCCATCCATCGACTCTCTCCCCACCAATAGCTTGGTTTTATCCGCTCCGTACGAAGCGCGTGCGTGCGTGCGTGCGTGCGTGCGTGCGTGCGTGCGTGCGTGCGTGTACCAGGGCGCACGCGTGCTTGAAGGGAGCGTGTATGGGGAGGATGTGCGCGCGGGCAAACGCGCGTGGATCTACATCCGTGCACCCGTGTGTAACCGTGTACGTGCTCACGCGTGGAACAGGTATATGCCCTGTTCTTTTCTCCTTTTTTCTCTTTTACCGGCGTTCCATCTCTCTCCTTTTTTTTTCTATTTCTTTTTCCTTATCTTTCTCTTTCCGTCTATGCATGCCTATCTTTTTCTGTGCTGAAAAAGCGGTGCGTAAGGGGCACTCGAGGGCCACTGGACGTTCTTCCTCTGCATGGAGCGCGCGAGGAGTCTGTGATAAATATCCGACGCCCGAACAGTGTCCAACGTTGGATTTCGACGGATAACGAATGCTTTCACGCTTTTGGAAAATTTGTAATCTTAGCTGCGACGCTTGTCTATGGCCGATGCCGACACTAAATAGATCTAGCCACACGATCAAATAGATACGTTGCACGTTTTGCATAATTCTCATTTCGAAAATTATAAAATTGAATAGATATGCCGACGTTACTTCATCGGTTACACCTTCTTTTTACTTGTCATTTCTTATTCGAAAAAAAAAGTCGGTCATTTATGTTAACTGCACTGCTGAGTGTAAATGTGAAAAGTAGAACAGTGGCGTGTTTTAAAGCACGCTTCTTTCTCGGGGTCAATTACCCGCAGGTAGTTTACCCTGTCCTCTTACGAGGAGTCCTTCTTCCTTCGAATCGCTGTTCCTTGCTCAAGGATCATAACTGCGATGCGCAGGAGTCCCGACCGAAGATTTACGAGTCGGTCGAGGATTCTTTGTTCGTACGAATTCTTGCCGTGTGACAAATTCTCGGCCACAAGTTGCAGGTATCGCCATTATTATCGTTCGTAGAGCTTCTCTCGCTATATACACCAATCGTTAATTTTCATAACCTTTTCCCCTCGAACTCGTTTCATTCAATTTTAGCATCATGGCTAAAAAGTATAGAGCCAAGTATTACGAGATCGAGGACTACAAGTTTCACCGTTTAATAAATCCATCTCCGTAGAACAGGACAAAGGAGAAGAAGAAAGGAAAGGACAGAAGTAAATTTTCCACAACTCTGATAATAACCTTATTACCTTGAACCTTTGACTAAGAAATGTATTTCATAATTATATCCTCGAAGCCCAGCGTCCCAGCTAGCTAGCCATCCGTGGCCATCTCGTCGCTAATTATCTAATGAAATTAATTACCGCTCTCAGTGGCGGGCTGAGCGACGCCAAAGGGCTAACCAACTTGAATCTTCTTTTTTAACCTTTGAATTACGTTACTCTTCTGTGCTTCTGCGTTATATATGATATCGATTTTTGCTGCGGGCTTTATACTATACGATACTACTATACCTAACATCATTCTTAACTTTGATCCAAGGGGATTGAACCGTTATTTTTTCACTGCTCGCTGATTAGTTTAAATAACGGAGATTTCGTAAAAAATACATTAACCGTTAATAAATCGAGAACCCATGGAAGGGTGTAAGTTCAGAACGAGATACGGTAAACGCAATACGTCGAGTGTGCAGGTCCACCTTGGGAATATCGATTTCCACGTGTTGGCATTCCACTACCGGCTGACATATGTTGTACAATAATGCACAGGTATCTCTTCAGCTATGGTGATCGAGCGAGAGAGAGTGAGAGAGAATTTATGCATGTATTACGTCCACCACGCAAACGATTGGATCGTGTAGGGTTGCTACCCGTAACCTAAACGGCACACATATGGCGCTTTCGTAAATGCGTCCTAGGAACGTTGACAGGTACAGGTACAGATATCGGTAAAGCACCAACGTACATCGCATATGCTGTCGCAGGTTCACCAAATTCCTCGCGATACTCGGCTATTTCTGACCGTACGCGACTACTCGAACACTGGTACAACTACAACGTCTGTTTATCGTAAGTGCAAAACGAGTACGGTTTTACGGCTCCATCGACAGCGAGCGTAACGTTACGCTGATTAATGATCCTGGACACGTCACGAAATTTTCAGCTGTAGGGTTATCGTTTTTAATGCTTCGCGTCAGACATTGTCGAGCTTATCACTGGGACCGTCTTTTCCGGGAATCACGCGAGACCAGAATTTGCGTGGCCATCCGTTCACCGGTCTTTCCACGGTGACATCCATGCGAAAATGTCGATTAGATCCATCGAGAACTTTCAATGTTTTCCAAGTCGTTTGCTTTATTGGTCTTGCTAGTACGAACAAGAGTCGTTCAACCTTGTACCGCGGAATCGCTGCCGAGGACAGTTGATAAACAATATTCTCTGGATAACTCGTCTATACGCGTTCATTTTATGTAACTGTCGATGAATATACATATATTAGAATGTAATGTAAGCAACTTGGCAAACACAGTAATTCAGAATTTTTTGTTTGCGATTATAGCTCGAGCCTCGATAAGGGCACAGCTGTAAAAACTTTTATTCGATTATTATTTGGTAGCCGAATCACGGTGGTGATTTATCTCCGATCTTGGCCGATCTTTGAAAGATACGCGCGTAACAAGTATTTCCGGTGGCGCGTCGGCGTCGGTGCGGCGTCGCGTCGCGATAAACGGTAGTTTCACGGAGTTCTCTCCTTGAAAGATTTATCGGATGATTCGTTCTTGACAAGACCTTCCTTGTCGGTTAGCGGACCATCCGAACAACAATGCTTTTCATTGCGCCCGCCGAGCATTGAAAGCACCGATTCGAGAAGAAAATCGAAAACAGTCGTGTCTATCGACGCCGACGCCGACGCCGACGCCGACGCCGCGACGTGACACGCGACGGTCTCGAAAAAAATCGATGACATTATTTGAATTCGATTTTGCGTCAAGATATCACCGCGAAGAGTGAACAAAGAAATGGAACCTTATCTTTGAGCAGCACCATATAAAAATGTCCGTAGTGTCTTGTCACGTGGCAAGGATCGATCGGCAGTGACTGCACACGCACAAGCACGCATACGCTCGTCCAGGCCAAGATTTATCGCACGACTCGTGGCATCCTCCTGTCCTTCACGTAATTCCGAGGCTCTTTTTCCCCGTGGCGGATCATTCGCCGAGTCATTTTTCACGTGAACGAACAAAGGCAACGTCACGAAGGACGGCACACGCTTCCAGGACTATCTGGCAGGATCTGTCCAACGGTTGGTATTCCTTAGGAATGCCTCGTGCTGGACAAAAGTTCGAGCCGGTCATCTT